GCAACCTCCCGATCCGCCCTGCTCTGTGCATGACAGGGGGCAGCGCCCCAACTCCCCAATCGGCCCTGCTCTGAGCCCGACCAGGGGCTGCACCTAGGGATTGGGCCTGCCCTCTGCCACCCGGGAGCAGGCCTAAGCCAGCAGGTCGTTATCTCCGGACGGGTCCCAGACTGCGAGAGGGCACAGGCCAGGCTGAGGGACCCCTCCCACCCCTGCCAAGTGCACAAATTTTTGTGCACCGGGCCTCTAGTCTATAATAATAAAAGCATAATGTGCTAATTAGACCGGACGTCCTTCCGGATGAAGCCGGGGCTGTGAGGGAAGACTGGGTCCTGGGTGCCAGAGGGAAGCTGGTGCCAGCATCCAGGGGAAGGAAGGCCTACTCTTGCACGAATTTCGTGCACCGGGCCTCTAGTTTACTAATAATGTAGAAATCTAGGATCTACAAAGACAAGATAAACTTTCTTCTAGTCACTTCCATCAGCATAAATTGTAAGTCAATGAATAAGACATGGCCGAAACCGGTTTGGCTCAGTGGGTAGAGCGTCGGTCTGCGGACTCAAGGGTCCCAGGTTCGATTCCGGTCAAGGGCATGTACCTGGGTTGTGGGCACATCCCCAGTGGGAGATGTGCAGGAGGCAGCTGATCGATGTTTCTCTCACATCAATGTTTCTAGCTCTCTATCTCTCTCCCTTCCTCTCTGTAAAAAATCAATAAAATATATTTAAAGAAAAAAAAATAAGACATGCCTTGGACATTAATAGGGTATACAGCCCAGAAGGAGAACATGTAAAGAATGGTATATATTGGTGAGTGCTATAACAGACACATGCACAGAATGCCCATGGAGCACAGAGGAGAAAAGAATTAATGTTCTGTCTAGAAATCAGAAACAAGCTCAGAAAGGGTTGCACAGTAGGGCAACCAAAGCAAATGATGACATGGGAATAAGCATCTCTCATCTCTCTGCCTCCCAGCACTGGCTTCTCAAGATTCTACCTCATCCTCAAAAACAATGTCAACATTTTTTATAAATATAATAGTTGCTTTATAGTATGCTTAAAAAATCTTCCCATCTATAGTTTTCAAGTGAAAGAGACACCTGCAATGAATACCATTCTAACTAAAACATCATTTAAATAATACTTCATGTGACTTTACTAAAGTATGAGAATCAAAGAAATATACCAATTTCTATTAACTTTATAGAACTTTCATAAATGTTAATTTAACTAACACAAAATTCCATGATTGTCTTCATAGGTTGATCCAAATAGAAAGAGCTTGTTAGTCACAGGAATTTGTGTCTAATCATAAGGATAACTTGTGAGGTTAAAGCATACTTTGTCCAAAATCAGGAAAGGGGAAGCTGTGTACAGCAGGATAAACAGACACCTCTAGGCAATTACCCACAGGATTGACGACTAATGCCAAAACTACACTATGTGTATTTATTTAAATCATTTATTTTTAAGCAAAAATCAGAAAACTGTTTTCATATATTAAAAAATCACAACCCATTTTTTGTTTAAAAATATACTTTTTAGTATATTTAGATAAAATGGTAGATAAATATATACAACACATACCTTCATAGAAAAAATCATGATAATCTATACATCAAAATATAGTTTTTACTGCTGGATAGATTACATGGGTATATTTTCAAATTTTTCCACAATTGCACGTATTTTTATAATAAAAATAATAAAGGGAAAAATTATATAAGCAGTTTACAGGTGCCTATCAACCAGTTTAATCAATATAAAATCAGCCCCAGCGCCATTTGCTCTAAGCTTTTAAAGTTTCACAATCACTGGAGATATTCAATTCTTTTTTTTTTAATTATCAAATAATCAGAGTGCAGTCTTAAAAGACAATAAAAAAAGAGTATGGCTACTTTTCAAAATCATGTTGAATAATGTAACCTGTACTTTGCAATGCCTGGCACAAAATAACTGCCCGTAATAGTTAGCTATTATCACTGAAACAAGAACTTTCCCATACTCTTAACTGGCTTGGTCCCCAACAGCTCTGTGGGGCAGATAGAAAAGATGTTACTATTACCCCGGTTACACAGATACAGAAACCAAAGTTCTTTGATATTAATACAGCTGGTAAGTAGACAAGAAAACTCAGATCATCCATGCTCTATAATAGAACTACATTGTAGAGCCTGTAAGAAAGAATTCTTTTGTTTCTAGTGGTTCTACTGGTACTAATACCCTCGGTTGACCCTTTTATTATCTCTTTTATGTATTGTCACAAATTATTTTTTCTTCTACTCATCTTTTCTAATCATTGCTATCTATTTTATTCCTCATCTTTGCTTCACTACCCTACCCTTTCCTTTGTATGAGTTTTCCTTTCTTCCTGTGCTCTTCCCACATGTGTGCTGTCGCCTGCTAGCTATTTCTCACTGCTTGTTCTTCTACTCCACCCTGCATCTTTCTGCTTTCTCTCTCGTCATCTGTTTCCCTCCAGAGCTGCTGAGACAGATGGCATACCCATTTTGTTGAGTAGGAGTGCCGCTCTGTGCCAGGTTGTGGAAACACAGAGCACAGAGGGAGTGGTGGTGTGGATGGCAGTGAGTTAAGGTGTACTAGCCCAATAATTTGCAAACTTTTAAAGATGGCAACTAAATGCTAAAAAGGAATTAATGCAGATAGCACAAAGAATAGGACCGGATAGACCACCATGTTAACATCAAGCTCTATTTTTTCTTATTTTAAACTATCTTCTGTAGATATAATATCACTATACGCATATAGTGATATTATATAAATATATATACAGACTTTATATAAATATATATACAGACTTTGATAAGAAAAGACTAGGCAGACTTTGATAAGAAAAGAGAAGTTAAATAAGAATCATACTGACTAAGAAAATCATCAGGATTTTGATTAAGCCCAAATCCATGGGACTACAGCAGGGACAAATTAAACTACAAACTATATTTTGAAATAATTTAAGAACACAACAGAGTTGCCTCATTAACTGTGGTGTTCAAGAAAATACATTCTAAGTTTAAATTGTTTATGTAAAGATTTCAGATTCTTACTTCAATTTACTAGAGACCCTAAACTTAGATACAAAAAGTCAGTTTAAAAATACTCACATTTCTGTCCTATCCTTAGACTTCTTTTTTTCAAATTCTATTTTTAATTCAAATATCATTTGTGTTGATCTTTTTCAATCTCCTTTCCTACTATGATCATAAAAAATTAATAGCAATTAAGCTGAGAATGTTTCTAACAGCCCCATCCCTCTCAGTGTATATGGAGATATCCTCAAATAAAATACAAGCACACACGCACACAGACACACACACAGAGAGATACACACACACAAGTGCACACACCCAATTTAAAAAACTATAAAGGAGCTCGATGTAGCAAAATCTTCATACCAAACATTAAATACCAGAATTTGAGGTATGTGGTCGTTATTATAGGGTTTTTTTTACTGCTTCTAGAATAGCAACCATAAAAAGCCTAACAGCAGAAATTTGCTGAGAAAAAAAATGATGAAAATATCAGTGTGTATAACCATCATGAAGCAAAAACAATGAAATATTTCAGAGTAAACGTACATTTGATAACTTGTGGATAGAAGAAAACATTCCCATTCTTGGTGTAAATAACTGGTTTCACCTGCCCATCTGACTGGAGTCCAACAAACAACCCTGGGCTCTTTGTAGATTCCAGGCTTACAGATGCATTTTCCAAGTTCTTCTTAATTTTAAAATGACAGTCAATATCTCCTGTACCCTGCAATCAACATAACATGATTTTGTAACTATGAGCAAACCCTGAAGGACAGAATTTTAAACCAGTCAGTTCACAAGGATATAAATTTGCTTCATTTTCAAATCCTCATGCCAAATCTAGAAACTGTTACATGAATTGCCCTATGCACTTGACCCTGTTCCATAAGATCCAGAAACAGAGACCATGTGAGTGGCTGAGGCAAAGGTGCACACCTTGGACAGAAGAGCTCGGAATCACAGAGAAGCTATGTTCTGTTTCAGTGTTGCCCATCTGTAGGTGAATAGAGAACAGTGAACTGTGAAGTTTTCCTTTTGGAAAATAATGTAATGATGAAAAGAGAGAAATTTTTGCCATAAAGTTTATTTACATTTAAACATAAACTAATTTTCTGTGCTAGTCCACATTTTCTGGATTGAATTGCCATCGGTAAATCGAGTTCACATAAATTGCTCAAAGACTGTATAGCAAAAATTGAAGACTTAGAAGCCTAGAAGTCATCTATATATCAGATCATCAAAATCACCTCTCTTATTTAATGCCATTTATAATTGAGTATTAGAAAAGTCACTATGTTCACATTTTATGACCTTAAAGAGGTTTTCTTATAAGATTTAAGAGTCCCAGAAGAGAAAGGTTTGTATACTTTGTGGATGTTGGTGATACGAAGGAAAAGCTACTTCCTGATGTTCCTTCTCTAGCAGTGGTCGGCAAACTGCAGCTCGGCAAACCGCAGCTCGCGAGCCACATGCGGCTCTTTGGCCCCTTGAGTGTGGCTCTTACACAAAATACTGACTTCTGTGCATGGGCCACGAAGTTTCAAATGCACTGTACGTGCGCGCCCGCACGTGGTATTTTGTGGAAGAGCCACACTCAAGGGGCCAAAGAGCCGCATGTGGCTCGCGAGCAGCGGTTTGCCGACCACGGCTCTAGGGTGACTGCATATTATGAAATTTTACTCTCAACTAGTCTGGCCATGATAATAATGTTACCTGTTGGTTTTCTTAATTGATTTCTTTTTTTTAGAGAGAGAGAAACATTGCTTTCCACTTACTTGTGCATGCATTGGTTGATTATTGTATGTGCCCTGACCGGGAATCAAACCTGAAACCTTGGCATATCTGGATGACACTCTAACCAACTGAGCTACCCAGCCAGGGCCTATAACCTGTTTTTTAATCTCAATTAGTCCACTTACCAGTTTAAAGACCATAAGCCTAACACACTGTTTCTCAAGCATGACTTCCCCTTCTGTGAAATGGGATCTAGCCCACTTTACAACCCTCTGGTGAGTCAATCAAGGACACTAATTAAATGTGTGTGTGCACATGCTTTCCTCTTTTGCCCTGTGAACATCAGTGCAGACTCACCAGTCCACTCAAGACAGTGACAGAGAACCCTGAACGATCTACGCCTTCCCTCTTCCCACCTCCAGAAACTCATGCAAACTCTCCCACACAGCCAGAGCCACACTGGTAAGGTGAAAGGGGAGTGGGGGCATCTCTGAGTTTATCCGAAAGAGTTTAAACTAAACTGTTTCAAACAAGAACAGATACACAGAGCATTAATCAGTAAGTTAAATGTATAATCCTTTTGCCGCTCAATCCATAGGAAAATTATCCTATATAATAATAGCGTAATATGCTAATTAGACTGGACATCCTTCTGGATGAAGCTGGGGCTGCGAGAGCCGAGGCAGAGGAGACTGCGGCGGCAGGGGCCAAGCCCCTTGCATGAATTTCATACATCAGGCCTCTAGTAAATCTATAAAAGATGTTATGTTAGTCACCTCCCACATCCCCTCCTAAGGTGTTAAAGAAGAGCCCTTAATACTTAGAATTTAAAATTACTTCCTTATTCAAAGTACAGGGTTTCCATTGGTGGAAATTCAGGCACCAAAAGCAGCAGCTAGGAAATATTGTTGAACTGAGACTTTCTAGTACCTTGGTTCTCAAAGTGTGGTTTGCAGACCAGCTCATCAACAGCTGGTTGTTATTAGAAATGCAGGCACACAATCCCACTGCAGTCTAAGATAGAATCTGCTTTCTAACACAATTCCCAGGTGATTTGTACACACATTATGTTTCAGAAATAGTGTCTCTCAAGGGTCCGGATTCCTCTCCAATCATACCAAGCATTCAGCTACCGTCCCCACTCATTAAAAACACTAGCTAAGGGAGACCACCATATATAACACCCAATTTCCAGATTGTTCATAGATTAAAATGAAAAAAAGGAATTATTAAGAAATTGCTATTCTCATATCTATTATTGGCAAATGTCTTAAGCGTTTGCTGAGAAAAATAAGAGCAGATGCTTACTGTTCCATCACACTGGCCATCTTTAATCCTCAGATACATCCGTGCATTTTTCACACTTTCAAACATGCAAATCCCAGCGCTGATTTTATGCACTTTCCAGTAGGATTTTTCAGACTGGTTTCCCACTCCAGTGCAGCTGCCATCCGGCTGGAGACACAGGGCTTGGCACAGGCTTGTGGCAAGCAGAACCACAGCACTGTTGAGGAACACACCCTTCAGAGCAACAAATAGAATAGAAAAGCAATAAATAACAAGCTCAAGTATTGCTAGAGGAATATGGCAATAGAGGCCACGCTCTTACAGAAGCTGCAGTTATCAGGATCTTACCAGAAGCGTGGTGATTAAAAATGAGCAAAAAAATGCCCGGCTAGCATGCTCAGTGGTTGAGTGCCAACCTATGAACCTGGACGTCACGGTTCGATTCCCGGTCAGGCACATGCCTGGGTTGTGGGCTCAATCCCCAGTGTGGGGAGTGCAGGAGGCAGCCGATCAATGATTCTCTCTCATCACTGGTGTTTCTATCTCTCTCTCCCTCTCCCTTTCTCTGTGAAATCAATAAAAATATTTTTTAAATGAGCAAAGAAAATAATAGCTTAACTGCAATGCAAAACTGAACAAAAATAAAGGAGGTTATCTGGTAGACTCCTGATTCACATGAATCATTATTTATTGAGAGTGTGAAGGTAAGCATCAGATGCTACAGAGATTTTAAAAAGATACAAAACAGCCCTAACCAGTTTGGCTCAGTGGATAGAGTGTCGGCCTGTGGACTGAAGGGTCCCAGGTTCGATTCTGGTCAAGGGCATGTACCTTGGTTGCGGGGACATCCCCAGTAGGGGGTGTGCAGAAAGCAGCTGATCAATGTTTCTCTCTCATCGATGTTTCTAACTCTCTATCCCTCTCCCTTCCTCCCTGTAAAAAAATCAATAATATATATATATTTTTTAAAAGATACAAAACATATATATACCACATAGAAACAGACAACAGTGTAGTGATAGCCAGAGGGAAAGGGGGTGGGCGATAGGTGGAGGTGGAGGTGAGCAAAGGGGTGGGGGAGTGTGCAGATGATGTTTTGTTGAGTTGTATACTTGAAACCTGTATGGTTTTGTGAACCAATGTCACCCGAATAAATTCAATTTTTAAAAAAGATACAAAACACAAACACTTCTCTTAATAAATTTATAATCACTATTAAAAATAGTTTTAATACTAATATAAAGCAGAATATTCTGCTAGCCAAGTACCTGAATTATGAAATGCATTGTATGAATATTAGTTAAGTGTATGCATGTAAGAATACATAAATGAATAAAAGAAAAGAGATATTAAATATATAAGATATGTTTAAGAAAATTTTATGCAATCAACAGCTTAGGAGGAAGATATAAAAAGTTCTTTAAAGTTAATTAGAAATACACTAACACTGTAGAAAAATGGATAAAATACATAAACACATAAGTCACAAAAGACAAAACACAAATGGTGTATAAACATAAGGAAAGGTACCCACACTAGTAATTAAAAAATAAATAATGCTAAAATTACATGTTTATTCCCCCTAGAAAATTGTCAGGTGTTATTTTTTAAGGACCATACTCAACACTTGAGTCAATGAAATGGATACTTTCCTACACTGCCGATGGGAGTTAGGTAGTAAAGAATTTAATATTACATAGAGAGGTCTGTGGCCTTCAGAGAGTTTTACTATCTAAACCCTTAATGTAATACCTGATAGGAGTGTTTTTGTTTGTTTGAGGGTCTTGGGTCAACCATATAATAAAAATGTGATTTAGGGTAGGAACTTTGAGTCACAAGGTGCCAGTTGACCTCCTGAGAGGCAGGAGACTGAAATCAGCCACATATACTCCCTATATGTTGGAACCCTAGTAAAGGCTCAGGTGAGCTTGCTTCCCTGGTTGATAATACTCCATGCAGATTGTCACATATTAATGCTGAGAAAGTATCACTGTCCTGACTCCATGGGAAGAGGACAATGTTTGCTACTTTTCCTAGACTCTGCCCTCTGTGTCTATTCCATTAGCTAATTTTCATCTGTTATCCTTCCCTGCAAAAAAACCTTAACCATGAGTATAACAGAGTTCAGGGAGTTCTGAGTTGTTTTAGTGATCTCAAAGACCCCTGAATTCTAAAGTTTGAATCAGCAGTGAGGTGGTATATGAACTGTTCTCTCTAACTTCAGAGTTGACTTAAGTTTCTCAGGATTAAAAATTGGTACATTTCTGAAAGAAAATTTGGCAGTATGTTTCTAGAGTCTTAAAGATTTCGTATTCTGATCCTTATGTTCAGTTTCAAATTATCTAAGTTTAAAAAAAATAATGGAAAAGAAAAAAAGAACATAATAAAATATGTGGTCAAAGATTTGTCAAAGTATATGTTGCAGTAATATATGTAGAGATGTAAAATGAAAAGACAAAGATTAAAGGTACAATGATAAACAAATATATATGTATGTATGTATTCCTTATGTTTAAATATTATGCAACCATTAAAATCTTGTTGTTTTGAAAATGATAATGTGAAAAAGTGTTTATTTTATAAGTATAAACAGTTTGGAAGAGAAGCTGACCTTGATTTGATTCATGAACCATCACTGACTAGCCATGCTATACTAGTCAAGATTCTTAACTTCCTGAAATGTTTTTCTCCCCATTTAAAAAACAATAACAATATCTGTCAATATTTTCATGATGGTTAAATTTAGTCTTGTATGTAATGGAGGTCTCAATAAAGTGCCTGGCACAAAATACACAGTCTTATAACTGATAGACATTATATTAATATGATAATAGTATTATTTTTAAAATAAGGTCACAAACATATACTATAAAGGAAGAAGCACAAGTATTATGAAATCACTACATGTATATACACACTCAGAGGGTGCAAACATTCTAATTGTCAGAAAAATTAAATATATACATTTGTTTAAGTCCCAAATGTAAGATTTTCTAACTTTTTATTAAGAATCCCCACATCCATAGTTTTAACCTCCAACTGATATGGGATGTTACTCCCATTGGTTTGTTGCTGCTGTTATGATCCCTATGGCCTTTCAGTCTGGGTAAATAAAAGGCAATAGGCATCAATACCACCTCATGGGAAGACATCTGATTACCCCATATGACTCCATTCAAGAGCTTTCCTTAACAGAGCAAGAGAAAGTAAGTGTTCAGCAATATAAACTTTAATGACTTTCCTCCATTTTACCTTGACAAAAACAACAAATTCTTTGGAAAGGCCTGCATAGCTTGTTGATGATTCATCAGCTATTTTGCCATGGGAGTCAAAGACAACGGTGTGCCCAGGAACCTGTGCTGACTCAAGAAGTGCACAGCGGTTGGGCTGATAACGCACCCGTAGCTCAGTGGAGGCTCCACCACTAGCCTAAAAGAAAAGGGGGAAATCCTTTGAATTAACAACAGAGAGTAAATTTAAAATGTTTTGACATTATATGCCTGTAGAAGTCTACTCCACTCTATAGCACTCTTGAACTATTCATATAATCTCATATCTTTGTAATTCAATAGTTTTGGTTCCCCAGCATCATTTCCAGTGTCTTTACCCAAGAACTTTCTTTTTCTCTTGATTCTCAGAACCTATGGTAGACTATTGGGTAACAATAAAAATAATTCCATAGCAGGATAATTTAATGAGATGTTAATATGTATTTTATCATTGTTTATTTTTTACTTCTTCATTTGCATCTTCCTAACTCAAGAGAGACTATCTGGGACCAAAAGCTGAAATGAATACACATGTATTACTAGGTTTTACTTTCAAAAAACTAAACATATCAAGGATGTTATGCTATAGAGAGACATTCCTGGTTTGGGGGTACTGTTTGAGGTCTTACCCTATCTCCCCTCAGTACCCTAGAAAGCATTTGGGCCTGAAAAGAAAGGAGCCTTGGGTGCCTCTTGAATGGCTTAACCCATGACACTAGGGTTAAGCTAAGTTCCCTTGTATAGATATGGTAGATTAGCAACAGAGCTAATTACCTTCAAGAAACTATCTTGTTTGATAAATACATTACCAGCGACCAGTGTGGCCCTAAGCTAAGAGGGCTATCCAGACATTCTGAGATCCCATTCCATGTGAAATCTTGTGTGTAACGATATGATTCTCATAATAACTAAGCTGGAATATCTCATCAACCTAGGAGCTTTGAGATAGAGTTATAAAGCAATAGAACATTTGTTAAACTCAATTTAATTGAGTAGATTCCATATCCACTACATTCATATTTATTAAGCACTTACTATGACCAGGACCTGTACTGGGCAGAATGTGCTATGAAGTATAGTACAGAAGGCACCTTGCTAAATCTGGAGCAGAGGGGAAAAGACTTCATGGAGAAAGTTTGACTAATTAACCACTTAGCCTAACCACTTAGTCACACAAATTACATAAGATTTTTTCAATAATTATTAATTACCCTTAGTTAAATAACATGCTGTGAATTCAAAATCATCATGTAATATTACATAACATTACTAGAAGCCTGGTGCATGAATTTGTGCATGGGTGGGATCCAGCCAGCCAGCTGGGGAGAGGGGCTGTGGGAGCTTGGCCGGCCGGCCCTGCCCTCATCGGGCTGGTTGGCCAGCCGCAGTGCGCATCATAGTGACTGGTGGTTCCGGTTGCTTGGCTTTTATATATATAGACTAGCACCCCAGTACATGAAATTTGTGCATGGAGGAGGGTGGTTCCCTCAGCCCAGCCTGCACCCACTCCAATTGGGGACCCCTCGGGGGATGTCCGACTGCCGGTTTAGGCCCGATATCTGTGGGATCGGGCCTAAACCGGCAATTGGACACCCCTCTCACAATCTGGGACCGCTGGGTCCTAACCACTCACCTGCCTGCTTGCCTGCCTGCCTGATCGCCTCTAACCTCTCTGCCTGCCTGCCTGATCGTCCCTGCCTCTGCCTGCCTACCCGACTGCCCCTAACTGCTCTCCCCTGCTGGCCTGATCAAGCCCCCAACTGCCTCTGCCTGCCTGATCACCCCTAACTGCCCTCCCTTGCCAGCCTGATCTCATCCCCAACTGCCCTCCCCTGCCGTCCTAATCTCACCCCCAACTCCCCTCTCCTGCCGGCCTGATCTCGCCCCTAACTGCCTCTGCCTGCCTGATCACCCCTAACTGCCCTCCCCTGCTGGCCTGATCTTGGCTCCAATTGCCTTCCTCTGCCGGCCAATTTGGTTCTGATTGGTCAGTTTCTATGTCAGTCAGCGTCAAAAGCTCTGCCTCCTAGGCAGCCATTGGCTCCTCACAGTTGACCCAGATTTGATTCTGACTGGTCAGTTTCTATGCCAATCAGCATCTCTGGACCTATCAATGGGGTCTGATCAGAAAGGCGGGGCTGATAAGCAGCCCAGGTGGAGGCCTGGAGAGAAATGGAGGCGCAGCTGTTGGCCAGGCTGGGAGAGAAAGAGAGGCAAGTTCTGATCAACGGCTGCCACAGAGGCTTCGGATCAGCCCCTGCCTCTCTCTCTGCAGGCCTCTCTCCAGGCCTGATCCTCAGCCCCCTAGGCAGTCAGTGCTGGGTCGGGGCACCCGCAGTGGCCCCAGTCAGGGCAACCCAGCACTGACTTGTGGTCTGGTCGAGCCTTTGGTCGTTATGACCCTGGTTCTTTATTATATAGATATGAGGAAGCTGTCACGTGAGAGCTGGAGTCCAATGGCCTGTGTTCAAATCCTGCTTTCCCACTTACTAGCTCTTTGACTTTGGGCAGCTCACTTAATCCTCCTACACTTCAGGTTCCTCTTCTGTTAAATTGGCGTAATAATGGATTCTCTCATATGGTAGATGTAAAGACTAAAATTTATAACATCTATTAAGCACATAAGACAGTGTATGACAGTAATGCTGTCTCACTTTTCCAAATATATAATATGCATGGATTTTTAAAGATAGCTTTCTACATTTGTGCATTTCAAGCACAAACTAAGCAATACAAAGCATAATTACATGAAATTATTGGATTCAGTTTCCTAATAATAGTAACACTGAAAGGGTCTTTGATAAGTTAGATTGTCTCCTTTGGGAGGCTTACCAAAATTTTGAATGTTATCAGAGAAGTGGTCTACTTTTTGGTTTTGGTCTAAATTCTAATTGTAGACATTTAGGAGCATGTATGCATTTGAATCTCAAAAATTAGTGAGACAAAACAGAATGAAGAAAGTGAAAGTAAAAACCAAAGGAATACAATTTGATAATCTTATAAAAGTACCTTATGCAAAAATGTTATATATAAATACAATGCTATTGATATATGACAAAAAGAAAAATTACTACCTACCATTCCAGTGACAAAGCCGTTGTTAACAGCAAGAGATAGATGCCTTATTTCATGACTTTGGAATATGCATATATTTCCTTTGTTGAAAATAACATCAAAGAGACCTGGAAAACATTTTTAAGTATAGCAATTAATTCATAGTTTTAAGGATTCTTTCTTATTAAATTATACATTGAAATCTCCTAATAATATCTCTCAGTTAAATTTTTGTTAATCAGTGAAAAGGTAGAATGCCAGTAGCCTTTGATTATCTATATCTTGCTTGGCAATTAGGTGGAATGTTCATGGAAAATCTTTAATGCCTTCCCATGCTAATTGGTAAACTCCTGAGACAAGCCCCCCCGCCAAAAAAAAATAACCACTGGTGGTCCCAGGAAGATAAATAATCCTAGTGTAAAAACCCTTTACCCTTCTATAAATCTCAGAGATTTGGGGTAAAATAAAATAATTCATTACCAAAGTAATTACATATGATTTGGGCATTAATGACTGGTTCATATGATTGTGATGACAAAGATAATTCATCATGTATTTGATGGTTTTTAGTTCTCAATGTACTTTTATATACCTTTTATCTTAAAATTTAAGCTTTTGAGGCATAAATTTTTGTCTACTCTGTGCACAGCTATATAGCAGCACTTAGAAGAGTTCCTAGAACATTGTGAGTGCTCAAGAAATATCCTTTAGATAAATTAGTTAACTTAGGTCCCCATAGCCTATAAATACAAAACTACACACACTCGCACTCACAGAGTTATCCCATTTGGCAAGTGAGGAAACTGAGATACAGAGAGGTAAGGGACTTTCCCAAGACCCCTACGTAGTCATAGAATAGAAGTGGAACCAGGACTTCAGATCTTAGTCCAACATTCTTTGCATTACCAATAATCCTTCCTTTAGTACTTACAGCCAACAAATCTTCAGGAATCCACTCTTGTAACATAATAAATGAAGACCATTTTTGCTTTTACAAACAGCTGGTTCTCAATGATGAGTCAAACAAGCCAGATATAAAAGAATATGCATTGTTTGTTTTATTAAATAAAGCACAAAAACAGACAGAACTATCCCAGGGTCTTAGGAGGCAAGGTAATGGTTACCTTTAGGGGGAGAGTGACTAGAAAGAGGCATGAGATTGTTTATGGAGTGCTGGTTATGTTCTATTTATTGATCTGGGTTCCAGTTACATGGGCATGTTCAGTTTGTAAAAATTCATATTAAAATATGTGTATTTTTTTCTGCATATGGATATTATTGAAAGGGTTCAGAGTATGCCACCCCAAAAGTATGCCCTTATGGCACAAAGATTATTTTGAGCTGAATGCAACTGAGAAAAGACACAGTATGAACTCTTTGCCCCCCGCTCTATCAGCCGAAAAGCAGAACATAGATTTATTTTGTGAAGGTATCTCCCAACCCCACTTCCCCAACAGGAAGGGGATAACAATCTTATGACTGGAGACACGTGGCACTGAGAAAGACATGACACAAGTCTCACTAATTAGCTCTTACCTCGCATTAGCTTCCCCAAATACATCCTTCCCAGAGTTGGCAGCCCCTAGGACAGGGGTGGGCAAACTTTTTGACTCGAGGGCCACAATGGGTTCTTAAACTGGACCGGAGGGCCGGAACAAAAGCATGGATGGAGTGTTTGTGTGAACTAATATAAATTCAAAGTAAACACTTCTCTATAAAACTATTGCTCTTTTTAAAATGCTATGTAAGCCCCAAGTTTTAACCATCCCTTTGAGTTCAATCCCCCTCTTTTAGTTCATCACTAAGTTCTCTCCCATAACATGATTTTAAAATAGGTGATTTCTTGAGCCATGACTTATTTCATTTCCTAAAGAGTTGCTGAGGTTTGTCTGTGTGGTGTGTATGTGCATATAAATATTTATACATAATATAAAATAATGTATCTAATATAAAATAGGCAATGTACATCATATAATATCTATAAAATGGTTTCATGGTTACAAAGTTAGATTTTCTAAAATAAAGCAATCCGCCAGGCTGGTGTCAACTTATGAACCAGGAGGTCAAGGTTCAATTCCCCATCAGGGCACATGCCTGGGTTGTGCGCTCAATCCCCACTAGGGGGCATGCAGGAGGCAGCCAATCAATGATTCTCTCTCATCATTGATGTTTCAATCTCTCTCTCTCCCTCTCCCTCTCTGAAATCAATAAAAATATATTTTAAAAATAAAAATAAAATAAACCAATCTTTCCTTCTTCACCACTGTCAATATAGCCCATTTTGTATTAACTCAAAACTTTGAGCTTAGTCAACATATAACAAATGAAGCAGAATTATGGTAGTTATTGTGTGATTTAGGTTCCCTAAATCCTAATTTTTAACATGGAATTATTTATATATTTGCTTTACTTATTCACCTTGTATGTGTATATTCATCTAGAGTTAACAAGTGCTATGAATGAATTCTATCTTTATATATTTTTAAATATATTTTTATTGATTTCAGAGAGGAAGGGAGAGGGAGAGAGAGATTGATACATCAATGATGCGAGAGAATCATTGATTAGCTGCCTCTTGCATGCCCCCTACTGAGATTCGAGCCTGCAACCCGGACATGTGCCCTTGACGGAATCGAACCTGGGACCCTTCAGTCCTCAGGCTGGCACTCTATCCACTGAGACAAACCAACTAGGGCTACCTTTATATTTTTATTTCAATTAATTCATTGGCAAAAGTTTTTAGTTAAGAATCAGGTCTGATGAAGAGATTAACTCTACTATTCCAAATTTTAAAAGGATTTCACTGTATATTGAAATTCTCTTATATTAATTTAAAGTTATATTTCCAAAAGTGAAGGACTTGCATATTAGTTCAACAAATCACTCCAAATGGAAGGCTTTCTGCCTAATTAAGCTCTAACTTATTTTTGTCTACTTAATAAAAGTCATCTTAATGGCTAAACATTAAGGATCTTCATAAAATTAAATCATGTTGATGCATATTTCTAGGTAATCCTGGACATTATAAGGTGTGGGATGTTATTAAATTTTGTCTTCCTCATTACATTTTGAATCTCTGGAATTCAGAATACTGTCTTAGTTATTTCTGTGGCCGTCAAATTATTTAACATTATGTTTTGAACAGGATAGGCACTCAGTATTGAGTAGAACCAACTTAATTCCTTAAATGGCCACACTGTGTAAGAGCTACACTGTGGCTTTCTATGAACAATTATAATGTTAACTGCCTACATTTTAATCTTCAATTTAGTAATATCAAATATGATTTTCATGGTGTTATGTTCTGGTCAATGACATTTTCTGCCCAGATTTAAAGCCTGTCATCTATTGATCATTTGTATTAATGCAGATAGTGAATTATTTAAATGATCCAATACTGGTATAAAGACATCTGAAAAAGAAGCAAAACTGTAAATTAAACTAGGTCTAGAAATATGCCTTTTTCCAGCTCCCAAAACTGCCACAGCACACATGCTTTGCCCCTTGATTTTACCATATTTGTCTGTCTTCTCTCCAACTGCATCAACTATGCCATCTGGATGCAGACGGACAAACCCTCCAGTAAGCTTGTTGTAGAATTGAAGAGTATTTCCCTTCATAAACTTCCAGCTTTCTGCAGCCCACTAAATAGGAAAACAGAACAAAAAAAATATCAATATGAAAGACAAAGAGAAGAACATTACTAAGAAACACCCCTTACTAATAAACATTATGTACTGTTTACTTTTAACACATCAAATAGCTATTTGAACACTCTACCAAATAATTTTTAAAGCCAAAAGTAAAATCTTACTGTTTCCTTTCTATTACATTCTAGCTTCTGCCCTGAGGATATAAAGGAAAGAGAGGGCCATTAATTTCAGCAGTGCCATGCTTTCCTCAATCATCATACAATAGAGTTCGTCAAGAAATGTGTGTACATGACACTCACTTGCAGAGATGATATTGTTATCCCTGGCATAGAGTTCTCTGACAATTTTACCATCATCTTCCCCTTGATCCAGCCATCTGTGGAAAGAAAGTGTACCTAGTATATTCTGGCTTTATATTTACTCTAACCATGGGCAATTATCTAGCCCAGTCAGAAATAATGGATAATGGACATTTAAAAAAAAGCCATAGGTATCCAGTTGGTAAAAGCAGAGTGAAAAATGGAAAAGGAAATGCTTAAAATGACTATGAGAGTACAGGTGAAGTAGGAAAGCTACTATACTAGCAGGTAAGGATGAAATATGTTTCCCCTAATTCACAGGTGCATTATTCAATCAGTCTGTCCAGGTCATACATTTTACATCCACTGGACCAATTATTTTATCCTGTTCTCTGGCCACCAATTAGAGTACAAACCATATCAGTTATTTTATAAATGGCTGTTATTGGTTCCATGGGAAAAGAGACAGGAAAATGTCGAAAGAAAGAGCAAATCTATCATCACTATTGGGAAAATAACCCCAAAATCAAGGCCTGATGACAGTGGGTCAGCATGTCATCCTATATAATAAAAGGCTAATATGCAAATAGAATGAACGGCGTAACAACCGGAACAACCGAACAACCGAACAACTGGTCACTGTGACATGTGCTGACCACCAGGGGGCATGTGCAGAACATGGCAGGTGTTGGCCATGGCAGGATGGTGGAGCAGGTGAGCAGGGGCGCCAGACCAAGGCAGGGCGCTGGTCACTGTCATTGTGGCAAGCCTCTGGTGGTTACTGAAAATTCTTTACTTCCGTGCACCACGGTCCCGCCCGGCACTCGCACCTGCTGCCAGTGCTGGCCCCGCTTGCACCCGCTGCCAGCTCTGGAGCTGCCACTCACACCCACTGCCAGCACCAACCCCACTTGCACCCGCTGCCAGTGCCGGCCCTGCTCGCACTCACTGCCGGTGCCCGGCACCAGTCCCAATCACTTGGCGCCATCAGTGGATGCAAACGGCAGCTGCTGGCCCTGATCGCCCCTGAGGGCTTCTCCCCCTCCCCCTGCTCCAGAGGGGCGATCAGGGCAGCAGCCACTGCTCGCACCCATTGACAGCACCGGCCCCACTCACACCCACTGCCAGCACCGACCCTGCTTGCACCCGCTGCCAGCTCCGGAGCTGCCACTCACACCCACTGCCAGCACCGACCCTGCTTGCACCCGCTGCCAGCTCCGGAGCTGCCACTCACACCCACTGCCAGCACCGACCCTGCTTGCACCCGCTGCCAGCTCCGGAGCTGCCACTCACACCCACTGCTGGTGCCAGCCCCAATCATTCCGTGCTGTCAGCAGATGCGAGCCAGGGCCGGTGCAGTCAGCGTGTGGGAGTGGCAGCAATGGGAGCGGGGCTGCCAGCAGACAGGGGACCAGAGGCCACGGCGGGAGGGGCCAGGAGGGGGCGTGGAGGATGGGCCGAGACCTACCCCTGTGCCTACCACAGCCTCGCAGCCCATAGTTCCTTTCAAGGTGCACAAATTCGTGCACTGGGTCCCTAATTTTTGTATAAAAAGCCACATACAACATTTATTTTATACATATATTTTTTAACCTAATTTGGGATCTAATCCAATGGGAATAAGTTTTCTTAACGGACTTTCATTCTCCTTATTAGAGAGAAATTATATTTTTAAAATCTATCTTAATTTCCCAAGAAATATTTAAATTTATATCATCAGGAATAATGATAAACATAATGGATATCTTTCTAAATAGAAGAAATAGTACCTAAAATTAATGTTCCAAAAAGTTACCCAGCAAAGCACTATTAACCAGGAATAATTGAATAAATTATCCATTTCTCTAGAACTTGGAACTAATGTGAAATGAATTTAGTCAATGTAAAAGCACATCTACAAACCTGTGGCAGAAGAAGACATATTCATGATTGGTTGTGGGATCACTGATTACAACATCGTCAAGAAACCAGCCATTTCCTAAACACAAATTAAAAAACAAAAACAAAAAAAGAAACGTGGTGTGAGTATGTATGGTTCAGGTTTTAACTTGAAGTTTTGAGAAAGCGGTTCTAGTTTCCAGACATATATAAAGGCCTTGGGCACCTTTAAGCTTTCATACTTTAAATAAAGCAAGACATAAGAGAAGTAAGCTTGAAAAAGCATTTAAAACTATTTCTTACACATGTAACAAAAACACAGTATATTTCAAGGCCTCGTGTTTTGTTACCTACTTCAATATGTTTTTCCTAACAGTTAAAAATAGAACAATTCTGCAATTGCTCTTGATTTCATAAACTGCATTTATAATCCTGGACCTGGCATCTCCCAAAGAATATATATCTGAACTATTTCCAAAATACGTTTGTGGACGAAAAGAGGCCACATGCTAACCTGACTAGCTCAGGGAAGGCCTGTGTGGTGGCCTTGCAAACTCAGAGACCTAAAGTAACCACAACAGATGGGCTAAAATTAAAACTTTTTAACTAAAAGCAAATCATGGCTCTTAGTCATGTCCTAGACCGACATCTTCCCTGACAAAGGTCAATCATTACCTTAACTGAGCCTGTCTATTGTCTTTCTGCATCTATAACATATCTTTGGAATGTCAAAATAATTTTCCTTTTTCCAGACCCCTCAAAGCATAGGTACTGCTCTGCAAAGCTCACAAATACCCTTCATTAATTGTTAACCATTAACTATCCTGTACCCACCTATTGTAAAAGAAGCATGTGTCTATCATTTTACTTTCTATCCAATCCCAGAGGCTTCCCCACTTTGCTTTCTCCCATCTCCCTAATCTATCACCAATGGATTTCATGTAACCCACATACATTTCATCTTTGGATTGTAATGTATAAAATAAGGGGCAAAACTGCCATTTTCCGGAGCATTCTCTCAATTTGTTGAGATTTTGCTTCCTGGCCATTGTCAACAGTTTGGCTCAAATAAACTCACAAAAATTCTTCACAGGTTTGAATGATTCTTACGTTGACAAAACTCTCAGCAAAGTGGGAATAGAGAGATCATATCTCAACATAATAAAGGCCATATATGAAAAACCTACAGCCAACATCATACTCCATGGGCCAAAACCAATATGTTTCCCTGAAAGACAGGAACATCACTCTTATTCAACATAGTACTGGCAGTCTTAGCCACAGCCATCAGACAAGAAGAAAAAATAACAGGCATACAAATTGAAAGGAGGAAGTAAAACTGTCACTATCTGTAGATGACATGATTTTGTACATAGAAAACCCTAAAGATGCCACCATGTGGGCTCTTCTTCCTGTCTCTACTGCTCTGGGGTTGGGATCTCTGAGTGGAGTTGAGACCCCACACTCCCAAGGGGAGGGACCTTTGCAGCAGATGTCACAGGGGCTGAGGGCTGCCACGGCTTTTCGAGGGGTGCTGCCCCTCTGAGACTCCCCCCCTCTTACTAGTCTCTACATGGTTTCTTCAGTGGTCCTTATATATAATATGTCCAGTCAGCTGCACTTCACCTGGTTTTTCAAGTTGATCGTGAAGTATTTTAGCTGTAAATCTGGTCCCTGGCTGGGAGGAAGGAACCTCAGTCTCCAGCTATGCCGCAGACATTCTGGAGACTCTGAGAACTTTGTTCTTAACATTTTGAAAATTATATATTGATACTTTTAAGAAACAGTTTATTTTTTATCATTTCTGTGGTATATGCACATTAATACTCTTGCCTTTTGTTAAAGGATTTTGTTTATCTTATATGGTTATTTCATACACTAGGAGAAAATTACTTCATTGGGAAGAAGTGGGTCACCTCTCAGCACTGATGGGAAAACTGAGGAAGAAGCAGACACAAATGGCAGCAGAAAATACAGCTGAGACCTTGCTGCCAGGACAGTCTCCCTAACGTGCCACTCTTGGCACTAGAGCTTGTGCTTCATGGACTATCACTGCTGCTGTATCTACCAATACCATGCTGAGATGTTTCCACTGCCATAGCATTTAATCCAAAACTCCCCCCCATATTTATGCATCACATTTCCTAGCATTCTAGGCAGAACAGCTACTTAGTCAAGCCTATCTTATTTCAATGAAAAATATATCTACTTTAAATTTAAAGAATATCTGGGGACACTATTTTAATTTCAGACAGTCAATACTTAAACATCAGCCTAATAGGCTACCAAGGAGACAGAACTGTACCTCACATCACCCTGCTTGGCCCCGGAGGATGGCTGGTTAGTCAAAGACGGGTAAGATTCCTCTGGGAGGAACAACCTAAGACAGGCACAGTCGCAAAGGGGCCAGCAGACGAGAACTTGGGGGTCTACAGAGGTGGGACACAGATCCTCACCCCCCCAACCATGCAGGGGCTTGAACACTTGCCCCTTCTGAGGGAGGTCTCCTGCCCACAAACATCAGCCTATTAAAAGTTTTCTATAATTATTCTCTAAATTTGTACAGAGTTTCATATGAGTATAATGGAAGCAGACCTATGGAAGATTCTTACCTGGGCCAAGCCCATCGTGTCCTATGACAATTTTGTATAAATCCCCAAGGTACACAGCTTCTAGGAAGAAGGTGTCAGTCTACAACAAATCAAACAAGTATAGTTAGATCTAGACTATGAGTCTGATTTCTAACAAGAGTATAAATTTAGATATAGTAAAAATTGTGAAAAGAATTAGGTTCATTCAGTAAATATTCAAGTATGTTTAAAGTAAAAGTAAAACAATAATATTAATTTATAGAACATGATAATCAGGTTTCTAATATACCCAACTCCTTTTCACTACCAATCTTTCATTACAAAAGCATACATTGGGTCTCCCTACAAACATATTTTTCAAAGCACATTGAGATTGGTAGGAAAGGTGGAGGTGCGGACCGGGCTGTTACAACATCCAACTGTGCTATTTTTCTAATCAGGAGGGAGATCGTCTCTGTGGAGGCCACCAGTGAGGAGCAAGGGGTCCCAGCCCCACACCAGCCCCCCAGCCCAGGGTCCCAGAGTTGGGAAGAGAAGCCCCTTATGTCTATTGGCTGTAAAAAGTCACTAGCTGTTCTCTGGGATTCTTTCCCTCTTTTGTCTCTTTGCTGCACTAGAACTTACTTCAGGATCACTGAGCCTCTGACTCACTAAAAACCTATCCAATGATGTTTGGTTTTACCTACATTTTAACACTTGCCTGAAGTGAAACACTGCATTGTCACTGAACAGTCTGCTAGTTCTTTGTCAGGGTGATATTTCTCAATAAATATTCACAGCACAATTTCCTGAGATAACAACATGAGGTTTAGCAGTAAACTGACTCATACTCGTGCATTCTCTCCTTTGTTTGTCATCTGAGAGACACGTGATTGATCATACAGGTATCAATATGAAAGGGTTGCTGGGTCAAGAACTGAAGTTTTGTTAGACATACGAGACATTTTTTCCGTAAACAACTTGATTGAGAACCAAATCATTCAAGATGGGAGACATTTGAGAACTGAGGTTTGACTGCATACTTAACACTACTGAACTGTGCACTTGCAATAGTTAAGCTGGTACATTTTATTTTATGTGTTCTTACCAGAATTTTTTTTAAACCAGACAAAGGACTTTTCATCACTTACTTGTCCTCTTAAAAAACTGATGGAGCTCTTCGATCGAAATAGTTGTCTGGATCCTGTATCTCCCTTTTTCCCATAGATTGATATGTAGACATTTGCTACTGTCCCAGCATTCCAAAGCTCACCCGTTGCCACATGCACTTCATATACTGTCACTGATAACAAAAGAAAAATAAGCTTCTTATGCCAAGCATTACTTTTATGATAGAAAAATTATAATACATATACATATATATGATCAAGAGTTCCAGTTTCAGGTAAGATAGAGTGACACACTCCACCCAGTCTCTCCCACTGCATACAGCTATAAAATCTTGACAGAACGCATGGAACAGCTGTATGAAGACTTTGAAAATAAAGAGTAGCACAAAGATTGGCGAAGAAGACCAGTATTTAAAGTACCAAGATGTGGCAGTGATTTTACCATTTTTTTTTTCTTTTTCACCCTCTGTTATCTCCCACCTGGGACTCAATGTTCTAGGAAGCTGGAAGTAGGCACAGGACCTCAGTAGAAGCCTTCTTTCTCTGACTCAAGAAACAGGAAGTGGAACACCTAACATATAGAGAAGGTGCGGATATTCTACCATCATTTTCTCTTTAATTTCTCCATTCTCTCACATTCCATTTTCTGGGCAGAGAAGCACACAGGAGCCAACCCATTAAGGGAAAAGAACTTTACTTCAATGAAGAAGAGCTGGGCTTCAATAGGGTGGGGCCAATATTCATTGTTTTCTTTCCTCTCTCTGTCCTACTACTGCTTAGCCCTGGACACAGGAAGACTGAAGAAGTGTACAGGAAAACAGAAAAACTAAAGCACCAGTTAACCAGAAGAAGGAAGGAAGGAAGGAAGGAAGGAAGGAAGGAAGGAAGGAAGGAAGGAAGGAAGGAAGGAAGGAAGGAAGGAAGGAAGGAGCGAGCTAGGGAATTGGAAAGTACCAAAGAGGTTAAAAAGAAGGAAGAAAAGCAAACCCATAAAGTTGTTTATGAACTCTTGAGCTCACCAAATTCAAGATGACAACAGTATTGAAATTATCTGAAAAAGACTTTAAAGCAACTATGATACAAATGTTACTGAAAACAATCATAAACACTTTTAAAACCAATGGAAAAACAGAAAGTCTTAGCAAAAAATAAAAATAGAAAACTTAAAGAAGAAACAAATGGAAATTTAGACCTGAAGAAAGCAAATTTTAAGACTTACTGAACAGGGTCAAAAGAAGAATAGAGAGGACAGAAGAACTTGAAGATAAACAGAAATCTAACAGAAAATATTCCTTTAAAAAATGAATGAAGCCTCAGAGGGCTGTGGAAAGTAATAAAAATTTTAATATTTACATCATGCAATATCTGGAGAAGAGAAGTATGAAGCTCAAAAAAATATTTGAAGAAGTAATGGCTAAAAATTTCCCAAATTTGGCAAAAGATATATACCCAATAGATTCAAGAAGTTCAGTAAACCCTAAACACAGTGAATCCAAGTCAATCCATGTCTGGAAACATTATAATCAAACTGCTGAAAACATAAGACAAAAAAATTTAAAATAGCCAGAGAAAATGGTACATTACTATAAAGGAATAATGATTCTAATGAGAATAGATTTCTCATCAGAAACCACAGATGCACAAAAGAAGTGGCACAATATTATTAATGGGCTGAAAGCAAAGAACTATCAACACAGAATTCTATGTCCATCAAAAATATCCTTCAGGCCCTAGCCAGGTGGCTCAGTTGGTTGGAGCACCATCCCCTACAGCAAAAGGTTGCAGGTTCGATTCCCGATCAGGGCACATACCTAGGTTGCAGGTTCAATCCTCGGTCAAGGAGCATATGAGAGGCAACTCATCGATGTTTCTCTCTCTCTCTCTCTCTCTCTCTCTCAATCAATAAAAACATATCTTTGGATGAGATATATATATATATTCCCTTCAAGAATGAAAGTGACATAAAGACATTCTTATATTAATGAAAATTAAGAGAATTTCTTGCCATAAGACCTGCTCTAAAAGAATTGTTAAAGGAAATTCTTCAGAGAGAAGGCAAATGATGCCAAAAGGAAACTTGGAAATCAAGAACAAAGGGAGAGCAACAAAAAAGAACCTGCATAGAAACAAATTGAATAAACATAAAACTGAGATTGTAGTTACCAGAGGGGTGGGGGAATTGGATAAAGGTGATCAAAAGGTACAAACTTTCAGTCATAAGATAATTAAGTTCTGTAGCTATAATGTACAACATGATTATTATAATCAATACTGTTGTATGATGTATTTGGAAGTTGCTAAGAGAGTAAATCCAAGGAAAAAACATTATTTTTTGTATCTATATGATATGATGGTTACTGACTAAACTTGTAGCAATCACTTTGCTATAGGTCAAGTCATTATGCTGACCACCTTAAATTCATACAGTGCTTTATGTCAATTAAGTCTCAATAAAACTGAAAGAAAAAGTGAAGGAGAGTCTTCCTAATTAACTGATATATTCACTCAGGGGTCAATTATGCAAATTGAAATAGTTGTTTCAATAAAATAGCTTTCACAGGACCTCAGCAAGATACTGGAATAGGAAGCCCCAGTCCTGTTTTCTTAGACACCAACTTAACAAAACATTAACAAATTGCCTTAGTAAAAACTCCAGAAACTATATGAGGTTCCCCTACCCAGGCAAGTCCAAAACAAAAAGACTGCATCAAAGCCCCTAAGAAAATTCATGGAATTGTATATGCCTACACTCCACCTCCCCAGCACACTACAATACCCATGGGAGAAAATGCCCAACACCTAGCTTCTCACTGGGGAAGTAATAAGAAAGGTGAAACATACGGCCAACATTCTGGCTTTTCAAGAGTCTATCTGAATGACTGGTTTCTGTCTTACCTAAATCAAAACACTGACAGGAATGGGCACAGGGTGTGGGCTGCTGAGCACCAGAGAGATTGCAGAACTGCCTACAAATATCCAGGGAAGTTCCTGAGTGAAAACACATAAACCTTTTCAAGTCGGAGACCACATGCATAATCAAAGAGGAAGCAAAGCTAGAAAAGGATAGAGGGGTCTGCAGAATCCCTAGTAGGGCTAATTAGTGAAGACCTTCCTATATATGAAGCTAGTCCACAAAGACTAGACAGGTAGTTGTTTTTTCAAATGCCCAAATTGCAACAAAAAATCACAGACAGAGCAAATAAAAGAGAAATATGACCCAAACAAAAGAACAAATTAAATCTTAAGAAACCAACCAGAAAGCAATGGAGATCTATGAATACCTGACAATGAGTTCAAATAACAATCTTAAAGGTAAACAATGAATTAAAAGAGAACATAGACATCTAAATGACACCAGAAACACGATGTACAAACAAAAGGAAAATGTCAAAAAAGATATAGGAACTGTGAAGAAGTAAGGACACAGTGAAAACAATGACCCGCAAGATTCGAGGGGCACACAGGTGAACCCAGGGAGGCACAATTTATGGTAGCAGAGACTTACAGGCAGAAACTGCCACAGGAACCATTGCTGGGGTAGGAAAATCTGAACTGTAACTAACAACTGTTGGAGGCTCATTGCTGACAAGTCTGAGTGTTTAAAACTCCAAGGGCACCCAGTCATTCTTTTGTGAGTTTTGTCTCCAGGAGCTCAACTAGATTCTGACAGTAAATATCAGAGAAAAATTTCCTCCTGTTTCTTTCCTTAGGAAGAGGAGAAAAAGGAGCAATCTGACATATACCAGAACATTCTGTTCTTAATAAGGACTGTCCTCAGGAGAAATGAGTTATTTATTATAATGTGTTCATTACAATTAAAAACAAATTTAAAAAATACCTTGCACAGCCTGGGAGAGCCCACTTTTGCCCTGGTTTTCTTAGCAACCCTTATTGTCTTCAGGAAAATAATTCCATAATTAAAACATATTTTTCAGGTTAACCAGGCAAACACTTTTAGACTTCCTTTTACCTTAAATGACAAATACTATT